CACACACACACACACACACACACACACACACACACACACAATGTTTTAAAATAAGGTTTTCCTCGAGCCGTACACAGGTGGCACTGTTTCCCTTTGAGAACAGCTGAGCTAGTGATCTAATGATTTGATTCCAACTCTTCAGCTATCATACATTTTTTATTATAAATACACCTTTTATATGCTTGATTCAAATTTTGTTATTTAATGTTTGCAAATGCACTGCCATGCTTAAGTGTTGCTACTTTATGAATGAATGGGGTTACTTGATTTTCATGCGTTAGCGTATTACTCTGACATACAGACTGTTCATTGATATGGTGATGTGTAGAGAAGAGTAATGTTTTACTGAAAAGTGGCTTTATTTGTTCTTTCTTACAACATGTCGCTGTAGCATCTTACTGTACATACAACAGTCACCCACAAATAATAAATAGTATTTAAGGTCATGTATATTTAATAGTTACAGCACCGGTAGTACATCGTGGATGTGATCAATGTAGTTTTAAAAAAGAAAAAAAAAGAAAATATACTCTGCTCGTAAGATTATTACATTTATTTTACAATGTCTGATTTACGCATCCACAAGTTTTATTTTGTTTTTGATTCTCAAACCGAGAGAATCGTCTTCACATGTAATAGAAAAAACAAAGAAGCTGTAAAAAAAAGAAAAAGACTATAAAAGGTTTTTTGCATTAATCTACACAATTTCTGGGCACCTTGGTATTTGTTTTTTATTACTTTTACAATACATACACAGCTCCTCGACAGGGGCTTTTTGCCTCTGCCGTCTATTTCCATATCTTACACTGTAAGCTCGTATGTTGAGGTAACACCTGTGATTTATGCACATTCACCTCAGAGACAGTCACCGTTGTTTTTAGGATGTTAACCAAGGTCAGCGGGGCATGGAAACAACATGTACAAAGTTTTTATACACCAAAGGACTCGTTCATTTTCCAGTTGTTTGTAGGTCAAGTCTTGTTATGTGACACTGTAGTATATGGAGCAATGCAGTTGATCTCTTGGACTCTTCTGTCTGTTCATTTCTGGATGTCTTCTTCATGCGTTTGTCTCTCAGTTGCTCTGGTTTTCATGTCACTCCTGGGATGTTCCTCTTAAAATATCACCTGTTTGATGTTACTCTTCCCATCTTGTGATACATGTATTTAAATAAAGAGGACATTTTTGGGACCACTCTTCTTTCCTTCCTTCCCTCACTTATCACCCTCCCTCCTTTGGGGGTGGATGGCATCAGGTTGCAGGAAGTCACGTTTAATGGTTTTTGGGGTTGGAGGATTTCCCAGCGACCGATGCTCCCTGGCAGGCTGTTGTGTCACAGATTCCAGGAGGTCCCTGGTGCCCCATCCTACCCACCCTGCCTGACTCTCCAGGCTCACCTGGGTCTCCTGGAGATCCGTCACGCCCATCTTTGACAATTCCACGTACTCCTGGTAGACCTGTGGACAGCGTGCAGGGAAGGAGCAGAAGGCAGAGCGCCGCGGTTATTTCAACAGGTTTGTAACAGATTCATAATTGAACAGGAGAAAAATATTAGTCTTATTGGATAGGTTTGACAAGTCAAAATGTCTGCCATGAATATGGTCAATATGTAGAGTATAGTAACTTTAAATCTGCTAGTGTCCAACGTTCAAGCTCTAATCCGAGTGAACTCCTTAAGGCCACATACCTTGGTATCCTTGGTCTCCAGTGGGCCCATCAACAGCTTTGCCAATGGATCCCTTATCACCGTGCTCACCAACATTACCTGTTGTGAAGATGGGACATTTTTCATCAGTGGTGGAAAGTAACTTGTTGCATTTTTTACTAAAGTACTGTACTTTACCTTTACTTGACTACTTCCATGTTATGCTACTTTATGCTTTTACTCTGCTACATTTCAGAAGAAAACATTTAATTCTTTATTAGAATAAACATGATAAACTTTCAGAATACTGTGCACTGTTTTAGGGTTAAACCAGTGTTTCACAAAAGGTTCCACCAAAGGGTGAGTCACTCTCTAAACGTTTTCGTTAAAATAAATGTTCAAGGCCCAAAGAGATGGAATCATCCAAACAATGAGAGAAAAAATAATACAAATTTATACAATACAACTTTTCTTTTCCTACCCCAGTGATCACCTCACAACCCCTCAGATTAATCTTGAGCTCGGCCCCTAGGTGGACTAAACTACCTCGCTGTATGTAAAACATACACTGATGTGTCGGTATTAATCTAATAATGCCATGTTAGATCTGTCACACGGAACAGAGTTCTTTTATTTATTTATTATTATTTATAACACCGCTGCACTTTTGAGTAGTTATTTTAAATACACAGCTTTTACTTGCAGGAGAGTACATTTACTTGAGATGAGGATCTTCTTCCTCCATTGATTTTAATAATTACATCACATCATGGTACAACTGATGACCAAGTTATTTTTGTGCTCCTTTCAACAGATCTAAAGTCAGTACTGATTCCACTTGTCTGTACCTCTGGGACCTGGGTCTCCGAGTTCTCCTGGCAGGCCTCTGTACCCTGGTGGTCCACGTTGACCTGGATGCCCATAGGAGCCAGCGACTCCCGTCTTTCCTGGAGTCCCTGCAGGGCCGGGGCGGCCCACCATTCCAGGGGCCAGGGGTCTCCGAAGGTTAGCCGCCAGCTGTGCAATCTGGTCTGCGTGGTAGAAAAACACCAGAAGGTCAATTATCCAGCTCACCTTTTACTCGACACTGCAGAAAAAAAGATTGATGAAGACGACTCACCATCGATCATTGAGCCACACAGCTCTCTGATGTGCTGCTCACTCGTCAGTTTACCCTGAAACACAAGTGAATAAGACACATTCGAAGCGTAGGCTCATTCAGGCAGTTCATTAGAAAAGATGAATATGTGTCAATCAATCACAAGCTTTTTACAGATTAGAATAAATATAAAAAACACTCACAGGTACACCCGTCTTTCCTGCAATTCCAGGCATGCCCTGCTCCCCTTGGAAACCCATTATTCCTGTTTTTCCTGGAAGCCCTCTCGCCCCAAGCTCTCCTTGTGGACCCGTCACGCCCTTAGGTCCAAGTTCACCCCGCTTTCCTGCCTGTAATCAACAAGAACTATCTGTTAAATAACTCATTACAATTTTTTTGCAAAAATGAAGAAATTCATTTTCTTCCAAAAGTGGAGCTAAAAACCTCCGTAAGCCTCGTGATTTGATCTTTTAATAAACACCAGCCAAGGAGCAGACTGGGTCTGTTGAGACGATGCGGGGGCGGCTTCATATGGCGTCGTGATGCTTGGCGATTACTCCCAACGAGCAAACATTAAATGAGACTGTGAGTGTGAGGCTCTTAAGTGCGGAGTCTCTCATTACTTAAATTGTGCTGTAGCTTAATGTGACTCGTCTCTCCCTCGTGGCGGCGGCGGTGAACAGGCCAATAAAGCCAGAGCAGCAATACCTAACTCTAATTAATCCTATTAAACCTGGAATGTGAAGCACAATCATGTGCAGTGACTCTGACAAGTGGGCGGCAGCGTGGAGCGGGGCTCCATTTTTAAAGTTAAGTGAGGGAGTTGACACACAGGGAGTTTGGAACAAACTTGTGCTGCTAATTAAACCCACTCACAACATCCCATCTAACTCTGTTCTGAGTAAATGGAAGAACATCTACGGTGTCTACAGAACTGATTTAAAGGGAGCTGATCTATTCAGAGTACCAAACACTGCAGAAGTGTCAGAGGACACACGTAACAAAACGTAAATGAAAACATTGATGTGACTCACCGCTCCTTTTTGTCCAACTGGGCCGAAAGGACCCTGTAAAATACAGACGTGTTTAGTTTAACAGTTTCACAGCGTCAACTGTATTGGTATAGCAGCTTTCCTACAGGTTACTGCAATCCAAAGAGTCGACGAGGCAATACAAGTGAACATAAATGAATTTAGAAAATGTAAATAATGGCCATAACACAGTTTATTCAAAAGACAGACCAAACTAGATTGTACTCTTTACAATCCAAACACGTACAAGTATTTTCTATCTGAAAACTGACAGGAGACCAGCGTAAAGATGTGTAATGTGTTCTCTCCTCCTGGTTCTACTCAGCAGTCGAGCAGCAGAGTTCTGAATCAATTATAAAACTAATTGCTGCTGACAAAGTAATGAGTCCCCGGGTCACTGCGTGTTTGGACTCTGATTAATGTGAAATTCAAGACGATACTTACAGGTTCTCCGTTCTCTCCTGGTAGGCCATCACTTCCTGCCACACCCTAAAGAGACAACAGATGATCTGAATTATTTGATTCAATCTCACAACTTCTTTGTTTGAACAATTTCTAAGAAAAGTCTATAATCTCTTGAGCTGATAAAAGACTTTCAGCATCGTGACAAAAAGCTGGATGAGAGCATTCAGTGGCGATCACACTGTAGTTAAACTTGACCAGCTTGAACATCAATATTTACCATGTCTCCTTTAGCTCCATAAGCTCCAACAGGACCCTAAAGGGTTGAAAAGGGAGAGAGAGAGGGAGAATAAATGAGATCCATGTAGAGGTATTTGTGGAAGGCCGTCTGTGAATGAAGGGGGATGAAGGGAAGTGAGGTGGGCTGGTTAGAGGGGAACCAGCAGCGCTATAAAGACCGGCTTTGTTCTGGCCCCAGATTGTGAACAGGAGGCCTGTTTGTGTTTGAGCTCTCTGCTGGCTGCAGTTTGACTTCATACCACCAAGACTGAGGTGGGACGACCCGCGTATTGACACACGGTACTGGATAGTTGTCTCTGTGTGAAGACGTGTGTCAAAGTTTCATGTTTGCATTTGAAGCAGTGGCACTTAATGACGATTTGTATTTTAGCTTTTACCTGATTTTGTTGTCGTTCATCTGTACATACTGTATTAAAGCTGGAACCATTAGTCAATTAATATATTCATCAATTATACAGATTCGTTTTGAGTCATTTTTTATGGAAACATTCTCTTGTTCCATCTTCTCAAATCTGAATATTTGTCTTGAGTTCTTAGTCTTACTCTAGATTAAAGGCTTTGCTACTTGCTAACATAAAATGACATGACTAATGGATTCATTGAGAAAATAACTAGCAGTAATAATAACCAAGAGAATATATTTATCATCATAAGAAACCCTTATACAGTATCATGGATCATGTTGGATGACGTTCAGCCCGGGGACATGTTTCATATTGTCACCTACGTCAGACTCACCCTTTCGCCAAACTCTCCACGGATACCTGTTGGACCCGGAAGACCTGGATCTCCCAAGGCTCCGTTTACCCCCTGCAGTACACGGCACACACACAGCCAGTGAGTAAACTGAAAAGTGAAGAAAAAACTGATAGTGGTTGGTGATGTCATGCAACTGACCTGGAAGCCTTTGACTCCCTGAGGTCCAACGATGCCCGTCGGCCCGATGCCTCCCTGTAGAGAACAGACATTGTCATGTAACCCTACTAGGAAGAGCTGACAGTAGTGAAAACAAACTGGAAAGTAGCAGCACGTCAGAGATGCAGAACTCAAAGAAAGCGGGCGTGATGGTTTGTGTAAAGCATGAGTCATTATGCAGTGTGGTGTGTGAGAGAAGTCTGTTCATTTATATGCTGTTTTATCTGTTTTCCTTCCCCTCGCCGCAGGGTCGTATGTGAAAAACAAAGAGCTCTCTGTTTATGAATTCCTCCTTTATTAATACCTGCTCTCATCACTGGCCCTTCATTGCTACCTCCACCGTAGCAAGCCACTGAATCAGACGCAGTAGCATATCATTAACTTTGAGGGGCAGTACCTTATTATTCAGCTATTCTAGTTTCATCTCATGCCGTGTGCTGCTATGTTTGTGCTTTACACTTCAGTCTTGATGCATTCAAATACCCACACCGGTAAAGTGTTGGAAACTGAGTCTATAAGTGGTTGAATTTAACAGACCACCCGTGCAGAGGAAAGTCTAATAATTTGGCTTCTAAATGTGTCAGAGATTATTTTTAAATGCCCTGTGATAGATGTTTTTGAAGCTACATAAGCACTGCAGCAACAGATACACGTTGCCTTAGATTACAGTGGAAGCATTAACTTACAGCCACTCCTCTGGGTCCGGCTATCCCCCTCTCTCCTGGGACGCCGATATCACCCTGAGGGAGGAGACGAAAGACGGCAAGTCAGGAAAGTTCAGAGTCCAGACTCGATATTAAGTGACACGACAGAGAGGCTGTGACCCCCCCCCCAAAAAAAGCCCATCAGATACATACAGGAATACCTGGCTCTCCATAGGGTCCCGTCTCTCCATCCTTCCCTGGATCACCCTGATTTAAAAGAGAGGAGAAGATGAAAGTTGTCCTCCGTGGTCCTAAGATCATCTTTACGGTTAAACTTGTATTTTGTTGTAATACTCACAACTTGTCCTTTATGCCCCTTCGTACCAGCCTTTCCTTGTAGACCCTGGAATAGAAAATATAAAGAGTGTTACAATCAAACTGCCACTTAGACTGCAGAATCAAGGGACCGGAGGATTTAAATAACATCCTTTGTTATCAATTAGACACCCAAGTCTATTTCAAAGCACTCACAGGAAGTCCGTTTGGTCCTTTCTCTCCAACTACCCCATGGCGTCCAGCATCACCCTATCAAGACAGACAACACTGTCACCTCGACATCAGCTCTCCTCACACAATCACATGACGGGCACTCAACACGTTAAAGCCCAAAGCATGCCGAAAGGAAAGACCTTACCTTCTCCCCATCTAACCCTGGTGTACCATCTTTGCCATCTCTGCCAGGGATACCCTGTAGAAGACGTTACACATGAGCTGATGTATATTAAAACATGTTGCATTCATGTAAATAATTTATAATCAGATATGCACTTACAGGCTCCCCTTTGGGTCCAGCTCCTCCAGGACCTCCTTTGGGGCCAAATTTACCCTGTTGAAAGACACATCAGGATGTCATTTATACATCTTATACAGACTCGTGAAACTAATAACAAACTAAAGTATTTTACTCACAATTCCTCCTTTGGGTCCTCTGAATCCCTGCGGTCCTTTTTCTCCCACGTCACCCTGGAGACATCAGATGAAACACACACAGCTATTCATTGATGGGACCAGCCGTCTATTCAGGATGTAAACGACTACCAGACACTGTTTTATTTGTTTTTTGCGTTACAAAAAAGGAGAGACTCACTGTCTTTCCAATGATGCCAGTAATGCCAGGTTTGCCTCTGTAACCAGGCAGGCCCTACGGACAAAGGAAGGTGAAAGGAAACCGACAGTAAGTGCACAGATTCAAACGTCTGCACTGTGAGGGATAAAGAGCTGAACGAGGATGGAGTGGTCACGGTCTGAACGTTGCTTACTCTGTCTCCTACAGATCCCATTGTGCCTTGTAAACCTCTGAGACCACGTGGGCCCTGAAACACAGCATCAGAGCATCATGAAGGCACTTCAAAGCATTTTTAACAGGTGAAAAGTAACACACGTTGTGAGTCATTGTGTAGCTCACCTGCAGACCCACAGTCCCGGGAAAACCTGGTGGGCCGGATGGACCAGAGTCACCCTAGAGGCGGAACAGCACACCAAATTACAGAAAATAATAAAACCAATATTTTGCACAAACTAGCTTTATTCTATTCTTTTAAACAAAGATCAATGTCACATAAAAAAACTCACCTTCTCTCCATTTTTTCCAAGCTCCCCCTTGTCTCCTTTATGTCCCGTGTGACCCTACATGAGCAGAGATACAGACACGAGGAGTGTGCATGAGGACATGTGTTGTGGGTGACATCAGCTCTGCACATTCCCAGAAGCATATCATTCAAAATCAAACAAGGACCACGACGGACGCTACATTTACCTTGAATCCCGGCATCCCGGAAGGACCAGAGGGACCAGGGGGGCAGATAGCAGGACACTGCAGAGGACAGAGACAACACACTGAGGACTCTACTATCGGTGTATTGAAGGGGATGCATCTTCAGTTTACTGTCATTATGCTGCACTTACCAGAAGGTCCCCGCTAAGATCCTGAAGAGTACCAGGAAGACCCTGACGGAGGAGGAAAATGACAACACGCTGTGAATCCACAGACATTCAACAAGAGATCCACTGGGTAGCGGTGGGAAAATACAGTCATTGTACCAGCAGCACCGGTTATCAAGCAACATAATGAGAGCTGCACTTACCGGCGGTCCGTCGGCGCCAGAAGGTCCGGGAAGTCCTGGAAGACCCTCAGCGCCCTGAGGAACGGACCAATAGCAGCGAGGTTAGAAGCATCGTCAGCACGTTGGTGTAAAATAAGTGATGAGGTTTGTTTTTCTGATTGTAACAACTCAGCTAAGTGAAGTCATGTGGTCACAGTTATTACAATCAGCTGTGATTGTAGAGTAACACTTAAAGGATCCTTCCACTCCAAAAAAAAATGTGTTTTTGCTTATCGTCACTTCACCTGCAGAAGGATGAACGTGCAGAGTTTGACGCTCGACGGCTGTTTTGTAATCAGTCTGATGAAGGAGGAACGTTTCTCTGTGCTCACTTTCAATCCGAGTTTAATCCTACGAGCAAGATTTAGTGACATCGCAGCCAGTTTGTAAGCCAGTCACGGTCCAACATGCAGCTTAGACGTTTCAGGTGTGAACCTGAACCCTCCAGCACACTGAGACTTTTCAATGAATGAGGAGACTCTTGTTGAGACTGTGTATCTGAATCTGAAAATATGTGCATATTGCATATTTTTTAATGAGGCAACTGAACTTGTTATACCAAGCAGAGTATCTCACATGTCTTAAAACATGTGTGGAGGGGATTTTTACCCACTCAAATTACTTTAACGTGGTAGACAGTAGACGTTCAATAATACTTCATTTGACCACTTGCTCTGTATACTACTCTGACAACAAGTCTAATACTGACCCAAACTATAATTATAAAGTTAACCCCGTCAATAAAATGACTTTACACTGCTGATAAAAATATTGTAGCATCATTCTGAAACAGAGTGATCTGTTAGTTACACACTAGAGATGAGCTTTGGATAATCCAAATAAAGTGTGACCTGGTAGGCCAGTCCGCATACTGATGTGTCCTTCCTCTCCAGTGGTTATTCTTATCCTGCTGCTCCAGCTATGTTATTTAGAAATTTAGGGCAATGTTTTAAAAAAAAGAAAACAGCTGGAATTCAATCAGCATCAGATTTACTGTTTCTAATTCAGAGGCTTGTGTATGAATTTCGCTGCCATTTCCTTGTTTTCACGTAATAACTTAAGTTTTGTTTGGCCATCTGCGTATTGAATCAAACCAGCATAAAATAGATAACAATAATGTTTTGACTATCTCGTTGAATCAGAGGACAGGAAGTCTAATTGGAGAGATCAGACGGATACTCACCGCTGAACCTTGTGGTCCGACTCCGCCTGGAAACCCGTTGGTTCCGGGTAGTCCCTGGAAACAAAGGACAGCGCTCAATCAGAGGCTATAACGGTATGTAATGCATACACACAGACTCTCTCAGGATGATAAACAAAGCTACAGTGATATGTGGGAAGTGATACAAACGCATCACAGTCTCCATCGTTCTGCACATTAGAGTGATACAAGAGGACAGTGCTGTGTACTCACTGCAGCTCCTGTTCTCCCTCTGCCCTACGGAAGACACAGGAAGGCAAATTAAGTCACAAACACCAAGGGGATGATTCGATTTGCTCACAACATCAATAACCACCATGTGATGGATCACTGCGTTAAATCCGCTTTGAAAGTTTGTCCCAGGATTGTTGCTGTGAGGTGGATATGCACTTCTACAGTCCGGTTATATCAGTGTTCAACTATAATCTGAGTATTCCTGTGACAACATGTGAAACTGCTGCTGTCGAAGTTATCGCCTTTATGTCAGCTGAGGGATTAGTAACTCCCTTCTGTACGTACAGCAAAGCATCATTGGAGGATGAAGTCTTTCAGGGTGTTATAGTCAATGTAACAATGGCTGCACATCAGAGGACTGGAGGAACGACTGCTGTGTACCTCTGTGAGGTTTCTGAGGTGCGACATGGTGTTCACATGGTATGTGGGGGTACTTACAGGAGGTCCAGCTGGCCCAGGAGGTCCAGCGTCACCCTGTAGGGAGCAAGTCACAATGCCACAATCAACCTCACGGACATAATGAACCATCGCCCAAACCCAATGTCGCCCTTAAAGACTTAAACCCTGAACCCTCAGGGACTTTATGGAGACATCACGATGTTGATTACACCACACATTTTATCTGCAATCAAGAGTTTTCATTTTAAGTTTTTTTTAACTGCTGATTTTAACATCTTGAAGGCTCTTGCCTTACGGGACAAGAAGTAATTGTCAAATAATCAATTTACTCGTTTTTGTCAAAATAAAACGAAACGGTTGATGAGTAAACCAGGTGTGTAAGTTAATAGATCTTATGCTTGCATTTCATGTACAATCATAAATCTTTAAGTTGATGTTTCTATGTAAATATGATATGCCAGACTGAGCACCAATGTGCCGTTCTCTTTGTTTACCTATTTTTTTTTTTTTTTTTTTTTTTTACACCTCTAGGCTTCCCTCTGGTAACTCCGTGTACAACATCACAATGCTATGAATTGTGGATAATTTCCTCAGGCAAAGTGTGCAGAAATGCAGACTTATGGAAAGTGTGTATAAAGGGCTGAACATGTCTGAGAGAGCCCTGATTTGACCGTGGAGCCGCCCTGAAACCCCATCGGACTTTGCAGGAACGCGCCTCAGAGTCTGAGTGTGGAGCTTGGGATTGGGCCCTTGAGACCCATGCATGAACCCTTTGAAGGTAATTGTTAGAAAATCCCCTCCCACTCTAACGGTCCTCTACCTGCCGCTCTGCTTCCTGGATGGGCGGAGCCTCTGAGTCAATAAAGGCAGCCAGCTCACCTGTGGCCAACTCCATCGAGAACAAAGAAGCCTGCTGGCCTCATGCGGAGGCCTCATCCCTCCATCAGGTTATCTGTGTCTACGATATGCGAGTTTGCTTTGGCTAAAATGCATTTATAGCAGCTTCAGTTCTTTAGGATTTCTTTGCTGCACTGATGACGTTTCAGTTGTGGTAAAGTTATTTCTTCATCCCTAGCTTTGTTTTCGATGTTAAATTGCCTTTGTTGGATTGTTTGATTAATGGTTGATGGGGTTGATTAATGTCCTTTGTTATCCTCTTCTGTTGTCAGATAAACCAGTTGAACTATCCCACAATAAAACATTGGACTGGATCTCCTGCCCTCGCTCATCTGACCTAACAGACAAGCCACAAGGTCGGTAACAATCCTGGAACCAGACTGTCCAAAGGGGATGTCAGTATCAAACTACACTAAATATTCCTTAATACTGCTTATCCATGTGTGGAAGTAATAGACATTTAGATTTGTATTTCTTTCTTATGACTGAGGTTTGGGTTAATTAAAAGAATGATTTTTGCTGTTTCAAACTAATAACAGATTCTAAGTTAGCCTACTATTGGGGGGCTGTTATTTAACAGTTCCTTTTCAGTTATTGTGATGGTGGTAACTATAAGGCTTCGTGTATGAATGTGTGTGTGCGCGTGCGTGTGTGTGGTGTTTGACACAATTGCTCGTCACAGTCCATCTAGACACAATAATGAGGAGCGTTGTTGCAAAAGTTGTCTTATTGTAAGGCAATAAGTGTTGGAGACACTGCTATCAAATATGTTCTTTGGCAAATGAATACAAATAATAATCAATTGATGAAATAAAAAATATGATATGTAGTTATTTGGACAAGACATTTCTGCTGTCATGAGAAAGTGGAAAATCACAAATACGTTGCAACTTTCACTAAAGTTATTGAGATGAGAAAATGATCTTTGTTATTAATTATCATTTATCGCTTGTGTATTTTTGTAGCTTTGGTATTTCGTCTCCTGCTCACTCTTCGTCCACCTCCCTCACAGCTGTATTTGTGTTGTCTGAGAGGTGAAAGGGCAGAAAAACAAGCGTAACACAGTGGTGCTACTTCTTCACTGCATTCCTCAGCGTGCAAACAAGACAACAAAGTGTACTGGCACACACACACACACACACCAACCGATGTGGGGTAGCTGGAAATGTTCAGCAGATGTGCCTCTAATTATAGAGAAATCTGTATTGTTGTAAAAACGACCCCGTCGTCGTCATCACTGATTACTGCGGCACACCAGCTTGTGTTTCGTCTCAGACTCCACCAGTTTGATCCTGTTTGTCTTTGCACGACTCTCCAGTACTCTGAACCAGGCATGGCGGTGGAGTAATCTCAGTAATTAGGGAGACTGGTTGACGCAGGCGTCCTCATTAGGGTTGCTAATTAGATGAATTGCTAGGGGGGGGGTTTTATCTGTCTTGACAGTGAATTTGCAGCATTACAGCAGAGGTCCTCCAATCTTTATTCCTTCATATCTTATATTTAATGTGTCTTCGTGCAGCGGTGCAGATGTAATTCTGTCTTCTCTGGTGTCTCTCAGAGGATGTATACGCGTTTCCCTCGGCATCGGGGCAACAGATCATCATCCTCTCAGGTTGGTGGGAAACTGTCTGCATTCCAGGTCGGATTAGGGAACCGGCAAGAAATTAAATCCCTCATTAAAAATACTCCCAAGAGAGTGAGCCGGCTAGACAAATCCATGCTGACAGAGGAAACACTGGCCTTGTCCCTGTTAGACCCCCTCTAAAGATCTTCAGCACCCAAATCAACATGCAGTGTTTCTGCATTTGTGTCTTACTAGTGGTTGATTAATAGGGAGGCAGTTTGAAGTACGGTCATCAAATTCAATTGTGTGCATCTTTAAGCGTATCCCGGAAAGATCAAAAGACTAAGACACACTTACTGCTTCCCCTGAGGGTCCATCCTTCCCAGCAGGACCATCAGGACCAGTCAAGCCCTGCAGAGAAAGCACATGACACCATTGCCTCATGCTCTGCTGGTATTTTAAAAGGTCAATGAACTTCACTTTCATAACACTCTGTTTAAGCATTGATCCCTGACATTCCTTGTCACTGTGTTACTTACGTCCACCCCTGGAAGTCCTGGCAGGCCTGGTTTTCCTGCTCCCCCTGGTATTCCGGATTTCCCTTTGGGACCCTACACAGATAAAGATTCACGAAGTAGTGCACAATAAATCAATTATCTACGCAACAGAAAGATTCTAACAGTTCTCATTTCTATTTTTTTAAGGATATTGGGGGGGTGCTTAACTGAGCCTTTTGAGACAGATCGTATCTTTGGATCATATCGGGGACTGTACCAAAATCATTAATGGGGGGGGGGGGAGCGAGGGCAGAAAAGAGGAAGGGGTACTCTGATTTTACCTCGTCAGTTTTTTTGGGGAGAGCTAGGAAGGGTCTTTGATTTTATTCGAGTCCGAAATTTACATTTTCTTTCAGGCATTCTTTGAAATCTTTATCCTCATTTTGTGCAAAAGAAAGCTCTTTGTATCAGGATTCTATTATTTAGTGCTCCGGTGGCACACAATAGTAATTGCATTAAGATTTGAACGTTTCTATTGAGGAACACTGTCAAACAAGTTGTACCAATCTAACACTCTTGTATTATTCTGACACGTGTGGATGTTATTGCAGCTTTTTCTTAAGTCAATCAAGTTATTTTTATGTTGCACCTTTCAAATGAATCAAATGCAACTCAAAGTGCTTTACAAATGATTTACATGACAATGGAGAGAAGATTAAAGAGACTAATGCTCACCTTATAGAGTTAAGAAAAATAATGCAACACTGAATAAATAATGATGAAGTCAAAAGAAGGGTTCAAAGGAAACATAAATAACATTTGGGAGGTTCTTGCTTTTTTTACTAAATAAAACGTTCACCAGTGGCCCAAAGTCTAAATAAAACTGACTTGACTTGTTGGAAAACTTACTATTTTCCCTGGTAGTCCAGCAGGTCCAGGTTTGCCCTGTTAATGAGAATGAAACAGTTATATAGCCTGATAAAACATGCATTTTATTTATTGGATGTACACTGCCACACAGGCCCAAATACTTCCAGAGTACTTTACTCAACTTCAATACCAACAAAAATAACATCAAGTAACTGAAGCATTGAGTTTGTGCTCTGATGTGCTGTTTAGCCTTTGCAGTGACTGGGGGAAGAACAAACACGACATAACCGACCCGAATCACCGATGCTGACCAGTCACATGAGAAAAAGCTCCAGTGTGGTTTGTACAGGGGGGCTGGAGGTGCGAGGTGAAACTCTAGATGGTCTCATCGGGTTGGGGAATGTATCAATGGGCCCTCTGTGAGCCTGAGCTTTACTGGAGTCACTAAAATAATCACAACTTTAGAATTCCTGACATGGATGTACAACATTTACAACGTATTTTTTCAAATAACAGAAACGTTTGACAATGACATGAATATAACTGATATAAAAGGGAATTACTTTGTTACCAACGTTTTTCTTTCCCCCTGGCTTCCCTGTAATCCAATTTCCTCTTATAACTTGTGCAAATAAAGTCATTTTTTTACCATAACATCATATCCTACATACCAGGTAAACCCCTTAAACAGTTAGTTCAGTAAGTCTGGCGGCTTCAATGTCAGTGGCCTGTTCTTGTATTGTCAATATTTACTGACAAGATAAAATGATGGAAATCCACACATATCAGACATTTTATGAGTTGATGACCAGATAAAGAAGTCAAGCTTGTCACAGTATGAATATAATCTAAGCTTGATTAAAGGTTTAAGGGAAAAGTCATTGGACAGTTATTCACCTACAGAACTCCAGTTATTAGACACACTTAAACCCTGCCTACCTGACATCCATCATTATCAATGCATATTTGGAGGAGGGGCTTTGGGAGGAGTCAATGTGATAAAAACGAACATCTAGAAACATTCCAGCCACATGTATGCACAAAGAAAACTCTTTCTACCAAAGACAACTGGGTGTGAATTTAAAGTACAACAACAACAAAAAGATGACCAGACCATCACTATAGAGACTGTGGCACAAATTAAAAAGTATTCTAATTCATGGTGGTCTTGATCTGTAATGTAAAACCCCATTTTGCTTAAATGATGAGGAAACTAAATCAGTTAATTACTCACAGAGAGAAAATCTCCATTCAACTGAGATGCTAACATTGTTTTCTTATCTACTTACTGGAGTTGATTATATCTGAAAAGGGCAAAAAAAAGAATTATGAGGCACATTCATTTTAAAGTAGAAAGAAGCTGTTGGAGTCTGGTCAACTCACATCAGTGCCATCCTTTCCCGGTAGCCCTCCGGGTCCTAGGGGCCCAGGAGCTCCTCTGGGGCCCGGCCTCTGAAACACAACATTTAACAACATCAGGCATCTGTCCCTGTATTACGCATCCTCTGTTCCTTCACCACCACCACCACTCCATATCCTACAGGAGGGTTTGTGATGTGACATAAACGGAAATAAAGTAAAGAGTGATGACAAATGTCTGGTATATTTTGGCAGCGACCGTATGATAATGAAAGAAATGTGTAAGATTTTAATTAGGACAAAATTAAAAAGTTCTAAATATATAACTGCAACTGGAACACCATGAAAACAGGCGTGCGTAAAGACGCTTTTAAGCCCCCTTAGGCACACGAGGAAGCCTAAATTAGATCATTAGAAAGCGCAAATCAGTGGTTAATTCATAGTTCATCTAAACAAAATAAACTCAATTCACTGAGGACTTTCCAAACGACCTCCTGCTTATTGGAGCCTGAGCGAACAGAGGTGGCATTGTGCGCTGTGGCGCTGCTCTCCAATCCGTGCATTCCACAGGTTCAGAGGAAAACATAACCCCGACTTCACCAAACAGTGCGAAACGCACAGCCACCTGCACACAAGTAGGCTGCTGTGGGAGAGTAAAAATAGGCCTACAGGAGCGGAGAGACAGAAAACTGATCCACGTTCAATCAATGAGAGAATTAAGAATCAGGAGGGTAAAATATCAGAGACAGCATCAGGTTGTTAAAGGTGGAGAGCAGGCAGGCCGGGGCTACAGCAGATGTAAAAGAGAGCGACGGTCCTCAGCACAGTGGACATGCTCTGATATCAACAGATGGACCCGCAGTGGACACAACTTGTTTGCAACAGTTAAGTTAATTCACATTAAACGCTACCAGCAAAAACAAAAGCTCAGCACCATTGAGATGAGATGCAGGCGGCGGTTGACAAGCCTTACCTGGGCAGAGGATGATGTCAAAAGCTGGCACAGTAAGAGCACCCAAAGCGCAGAGAACACCGCCATGGCTCCTCCGCTCGCCCTCACAAACCCGAGTCTATGCGGAAAAAAGGTCAAATCCCCGGTTCCCGGTCCTCTCTCACGTCCCCCCCAGCGTCCGCAACGGAGCCTTTCCTTTACCTCACGGCGCGCAGCTCCTGAATGGCTTTCTCTTTCGGATCCAGATAAACCCGAGCCTCCAGTCGAAGGGGCTGAACTCAATGTGGCGCACTGTACACAGGGGTGAGGGGGGTGAGGAGGAGTGAGGGAGGGAGGCAGCAGCAAGCAGAGGAGAAACAAATTCGGACAGCGAGAAAGTGGGTTGAGCTAAAAAAAAACAAGGTTTAGAAGTATCCGGGGGTTCCTGCTTTTAACCAATTAGAAAGTGACCTAAAATAGTGTTTTTCCACGTGTGCATAGTTCTGAAAATTTCTTGAATGGTTTTGTCATTGTGCAGAAGTACAATTACTTAAAGGGGTACTTCGGCACATTTAATAGGCTACACACTCTTATAAGGCTTGGCACATTAAAATAAAAAGGATGGTATAAACTGAAGCAACACAGGCCAAGAAATCCTGCCCTGAATCTGTCAAGCTCCAAAAATACTGGACTCTACATTTCCCACAATGCAACTCAGCGGCAAGTCTAGGCCAACCCGGAAGTTAGCATCGTTCCCTTGACAAAAAGCAAAAAACAGTTTTTCCATTGGCTTTTCGATTATTGCATAAAATAAACTGTGGCAAAGACACATTTATGATACTTCAGATGGTTACTTTATACTCTGTTTCTCTCCGTTAATGATGATGTGGTAATTGATTTAGGACTTCTGTAGATGCTTGTGATGCTCAGACACTTGCCATTGAAATATCAGTTAAATGCGGATGTCCATGTTTTCCTGAGCAGATGCACTGGGATGCATTTGGATTAGTCGGGAAGTCTTCTTTGGCTACTTGTTAGCAACCATCTTTTTTTAAAGCTTCAAAATTCACGAGTGTATTCATTGACATATTTAATATCCCAGAACAAAACTTGAACTTTTTCTAAAGTTTCTTGTGTTAACCACAGACCTTATAGAAGGAATCTAACTAAAAAAGCATTAAAAACAACCAAAGACTTTGAGACAAGGGAACCTGAAGTGCATAAATGCTGACTCAAATCTGGGTTTTAGGACTCAATCTTGCTGCACTCTATCAGACCCCATGCAAGGTGCCAATTGCAGATTACTTTCTCCATTAATGGAGCGCTTGGTCAAAAAAATATCAGATAATACAGAAAAATCCCAATTTCCTAAAGCCCAAAGTGATGTCTGATACAGTCCAACTCCCAAAGATTAGTTTACGATCACATAACGATAAAAGAGCAGCAAATCCCAACAATTCAGCTGCTTCATCAAGTGAATGTTTTGTATTTATGTTATTGAACGATTTCTGCACTGTCAAAGTTCTGATTAATTTTCTGTCAATCCACCAATTGTCTGAACACTACCCGAGACAACCATCACACTCTGGGGCACAGATGCAAATATCTTGACCACAAATCAACATAAAGGAATAGCTTACATCATTAAATCATAAGTCTATATGGATTTAAAAAAAGCTTAAATCCATTTCCTCTCTTAAATGACAAACCTGAGCACTACTCTCAACCTAACTTCAAAACACATCCGTCACAAACGGGTCGATCTATAAATGGAGGCTGGCAGGAACAACGCAACCAACGAGCTCAGACTCCAGCAGCATTTCTTGCTGTCCTTACTCACCCTCCACTCCAAACGGATCCAAAGTGCTGAACAAATCGTGTTGCGTCAATATCTCTAAATTAAACTTTTCTCTTCTTCTTCTTCCCTCGGTTGTGAGTCATGTAACTTCACTGAAGGTCTGTTTGCTGGGGTAAAAAAAGAAGATATTTCGGACTATATGCTGCTGGGATTTCAAATAATAGTCTCAGCAACAGAAGCCGACATCTACCGGTGTTATTCTGAGGATTGCTATTTACTCGACTATAACGAGACTCTGGCTGAACACATTCATTTCATAACAACTTCAAAAAATAGTTTAACTTTATTCTGCTTTAACAGCCAGTTGGGAGGGGAAAGTCATATGTAAACAATTCAGCACTTTTATAAAGTAATCACCATTTCATTATGTAAATCTCATAGCTTTAATAATGAATAGTGAAATTGAAGTGCAAATATAAAAAGATGCATCAACGTACGCGCCCTGGCTTTCACATGTTCATGGACTTCACTCATGTCAAATGAACATACAGTGGACTTTAAATCACAGCCAACGCTTTATCAGACTTACATATTGTACAATCAACCAGTCCCATCACATCGCTGGCAAGGCTTTGTTGTTAACGCGTCTGCCTGCCAAGGCTTCATGAGAGCATACGGATTGTGCAACATTATTGAGATATAACTTAAGTGACATTCAGTGGGGTCCAGCAGGAACACAGACTAGTACAGGTGATGTTCTTACACAAACAGCCCAAAGAGAGAAAAAACAAAAAAAACAACTCTTTCAATTCATTATTTTTCAGTGCAAAACAATTATTAAATTGTGAAAGTATTACGGTGTTAATGCTGATCCATCATTTTCTTGATATACATTAATAAATCACGCTTATTAAATATCACAACTACATCAAAAGGAAAGTCTGATATTCAGGTTTTCTGTTTGTCGACAAATTTCATGAAAAGACAAACAATTCATGATACTCAAAAGTATCGTCTGTGTACCTCATATCAGTCACTAAGCAACAATGTCGCACTGGCCAACATGCCCCTTCATCACAATAACATAATAATATAACACGCTGAAGTTCATTTTCAGTCAATCACACATGCTGCTGAAAAAAAAGTCCCCAACAAAACCCACTTCTTACTCCCGTTTAGTAGCATTCGAGAAAAACTAGTCACTTCCTGTGAAAGGATTTAGACTTAAACAACAACTATGTCGTCAATATTTGAGGATTCACGTGTTCAATGAGAATCAATGGGATTGGAGCCGAGAGTCACGGATAGAATAAAGAAGCCAGAAAGCATTGAGAGCTCAGCCAACGCACTGTTGGTTGTGGGGAGACTAGACGGCTGGCACACGCTAGCTACTAATGCTAACATGTTAGCCTCCTGTTGGTTTTGATCGTTTTCATGGGACTTAACCAAAAAAAAAAAAAAAATAAAAAAATTAGAATTTAGAGATCAGAATTCTCCTTTAAGCTTGTCTGATGGCCACGAGGAAACCGACCAACATCCTGTCCCACATTCAGCAAATTAATGATTTCATACTCGTTCAAAGTGAAAATAATTAATATCTAAACAACAAATATAGTAGAAACAAGGCCCAGGAAGTCTTTTTAAGTCATACTCTGTCCCTATAGTACATTTCATTTAAGCTCAAAGTTATGCATCTTCTTCATGAACTCTTCACATTTTGGTCTGAGCTTGAGGGGTTTGATTCCATATCGACGTCCTCCGACTCCTTCCTGTTTGTCTGTTTGTCTTTGTCGGTGCTCGTCGCCGACCCATTTGTTGGCGTCTCATTTGCCTTCGACGTTTCCTCCTCTTCCTTTTTATCTGCCACTTGATTAAAATCAGTCCTTGGGATTTTTTCCTCTCTTCCAGAAGAAAGAGCAGGCGAATGTTTTGAAGTCTTAGGGGGCGTCTGCACAGAGGGGCTCGTCTGCACAGAGGGGCTCGTCTGACCGGCGGCTTTATCAGCGCCAGCCTTCTCCTCCATCGGCCCGCTAGCGGAGTCGTTGCTTTGCAGCTCCTTGTCGTCTTCTCTCTTCTTCTTCGGTGGTTTTTCAGTGTCTATGTCTGCATCCGTTTGCATATTGTCATCTGGTTCCTGGGTGGTGTCCTTGGAGTCGTTGGTAGATGCGTCCTCGCTGTCCGCACAGGGCTCGTTTTTTGCCGTCGCAGAGTCGAGACTGGACGACTGATCCATTTCATCGACATCGTCTGTAGAGTCATTTCCATTCCCCAAACTTTCATTAGACTCTGCGTTTCCATTTCCGACAGTCTCTGTTTCTGGTTTAGTCTCGGGCTCAGACAGTTTGTTTTTGTCTTTACTTGCCGTCTTATCGGTTCCTTTCTGAGCCTTCGAAACATTATCCAGTCCGTCCTCTTTTTGTTGCACAACCAGCTCTCCATCTTTGCCTTTACTCCGTGAATACGCCTCATCTTTTCCATCTCCATTCCCAACCGCGTCAGATTTCTTCTCTGCCTTCCTGAGTTGTCTCTGAATCTTTCTGGGACACCACACAAACTTGTCCTTTGGCTCAAAATGAAAGTAGGCGAAGCGCACGAGCTCCTGACGTTTCTGCTTGTCCAGGACAGCAAACAGGAAGTAGTCGAGCACGCTGCGCTTAACATTGCTCAGGGTCTTCTTGACTAGAGTCTCTTCCAGAAAGAAGTGCACCAGAGGGGCCTGGTAGTGCTCAAAGCCCAGCTCCCCGAGGCTCTTCAGGATGCGAGTGATGCGCAGGTTGTTGTGCATATTCCTGCGAGAGAATTGCAGTTGAAGCTGAGATTACAAACAGACATTTATACATCGACGTTGCATGTATGAGACTTTTTTTAAAATATTCACCGCTCCAGGTTTCCAAATCGCTCCTTCCAGTTATCTGCTCGTTTTATTTCGCCCGTCTCCTTGTTGACCAAACGCATGCCATAGAAGCCCAACATGAGTTCATAGGACTCGACTAGTCTCTTTTTAGCCTCCTCGTTCTTCTTGAAGGCCTGGTGAGCACAAGCAGTAGAGGTAAAAATATGAACAAATCACCAGTAACACGGGTCAAACATTTGAATTTTGGTTAAGTTACGGGTAGAAGAGGAAAATATGGGTTGTGTGTCTTTATGAAAAGAGCCGAATGTTCCATAACAGGTTTCCTAAACATTAAAATAAGGTCGATAAGTGTTTGCTTGATAACCAATCCTGCAGTTTCTAAGAAGTGTACAAATGATGTTCGTAGAAATCTTTTACATAATACAATGCAATATTTCTAATAACTAAATTTCATCAGATACGCAGCTTTCAACCTGTTTAAGTACTTTTTGGAGCATTTGTCTTAGTTGATAATCCTCTGAAGCTTTTCTCACATAATGCATCTCTAGCCACAGCATCTGAAATACACATTCAACTCACTGGATGACATTTGATTTCAGCTTTGCATTGACCAGATTTTGTTGCATAAATGGTCAAATTAATTTGTAGTTTCATGTTGTGCACTGACCTCAATCTCTTTCTTGGTGAGTTCTGAAGCCATGTAATTAACCCCCGGCTCTCGCAGTGGAAACAGCCTGATGACAGAAAATCAATTAACTTCTAATGAAACGATACTCGTTCAGTGAAGATGACTTCAGCGGTCCCGACAAGCGTTCTTCACCCCAACATAAAATATACTCTGTGCTTCATCAAACATCACGTACAACTCTGAAGCCCTGTGACTTTACTAAGTATATCCTTCTAATAAACAGTCAAGGATTCACAAAGCTTTCATGTCGACACGACATCCTTCTGGTACAATTGGGATTTAGTGTCAACTTAATCATAGTTTTTCTTTTCTTAAAATTGTTTAAAAAAGTAATGGCTGAACGAGAAGAGACCTTTTCATTTGGATAAGGGCTTTATCAATGCACGACTGTGTGCTATTCGGTCACTAAAGGTTCTTTGAAAGCTAGTAGGTTAATTAATTGTCTTACTAGCGCACAAAGTTTGCAAACTACTATTTACTGTTTTAACTCCTTGCTTAAAGTTACTACAAGGAACTTTCATTTTGCGTTGATTTTGGCAGCTCCTGTGGACATAAGTGGTAGTGTTTCTGAGCACCAGAGTCCCTTTAAAAAAACCTAATTTCACTGGCAGTGGTTCTGGTTCTCTCTTGCCTCACTTCCCTCCAGATTGCCCAGCAATACGGCCTGGGCCACCAGCAGCATGGTGCCAATGTTGGCTCCCAGCAATCAGCGAGGCAATGCCCTGCTCCTGGCCGGAGGAGGAGGCGCTACTGGCAGCAGCGAAGCCGGATCATCGATGGCGGGCCGGCTGGTGCCAGAGACCTCGTTAAAGTCTGAGCTGAATAGGTTTGTGTTGAAACCTGCAGGATTTCATCTAATTTTGCACAGAAGCCGTCCCGATGGCACCGATGACCAGCAGTAAGAATAACAAATCGAAAGAGCCAATCTTCCCGCTGATGGTCTCGTTTATGTATGTAGGTCATATAGACTCATTGGTTTAAAATTTAGACTGTTTCATGAAGTTCCTCACAGAAACTTTAAGAGTGTGCCGCATGCTTCCGACTACAAGGTCACCAGAATATGACACACACCAAGGCGTAAACAATACATACCACTGAATGTACGAGTGAACTCTCTCCAGTCGTTTGTAGTCATTCTTCCACTCCTTAAGAAATGATTCAATGTAGATATCTGCACCAAGCGATAAAGAAAGCATCGTGTCACTGAACAGACTTAACGAACATTGAAAATGTAAGAATATCTTGATATGTTACCATCAGGAGCGGAGGGGAACTTATTTAGATAAAACTGCAAATTGTTCATTTTGTCTTCTGAGCACTCGTCATCTGTAAGATTCTGACAAAAACACATATATATAATTTGACGTTTCTCAGTGATGCTGGACCAGATGCATTTGGTTACTTTGCTGTGACTTACTGGATATCCTCTCCTGTAGGTCTGCATGTCCTTTGCTGCCCTCATGTTTCTGGGCGGATGATGCCACTGCAAATATAATCGAAAGTGAAATGAACCTGCATCTGTCTCAGCGCTGTATACAATTTGATGATGTGGATAAAAATCATTATTTAGGATTAATGCATCCTAGTTCAAAAGAACTATGACAAGCAGTTTCGTCATTGCTAACGATACCACGGCACGTAATGTAGCAGAAGAGCAGGAATAACGCGATACAGTAACGTTGCAAGTTAACCTATAAAAAGGCCAAGCTAATCCATTTCACACTCCCGCAAAAAATGGGTTTAACACTAAATTTAAAAAGGTCTGTTTTGGCTGTATATTACACAGTATGCATAGTAATCGCTGCAAGCAGCCCAACGTAAATATAACGATATATAGCGACTTATAACCCCTCAAAGTAAGCTAACGTCAGAGGCTAGCTAGGCTAGTTAGCAAGCCTGCAGCACAGAGAGGCAATACAGCTATCGTTAGCTTTACAGCCAGGTGAAAAGGCAGTGAGTTACAAGTCAACATATTCCAACGCCATGACATGATTTTAGGCAAGTTGTGGTTTGGCCGAGTGATAGTAATAAAAATAATAAAAGCACGTACAGTTAAAGTCCAGCCAGATTTGTTTTTGTCTTGACATGACCGACGCGTTTGGCTCTCTCCGGCCGGGTCGTCTCCATCACTCTCCGTGTCCCACGTCGAGTCGTAGTCACACACACAGTCGTCCTCCATAATTATTAAAATAGTAATGTGACTTAGCTAAAGGCTAAATAAACGTGTAACCCGTATTAGCGCTATTTGACGAACATGAATCACATGTTCAGGTTAGCCGAGGACGTTCCCTGACCATCATCCGTCTCTCTGGTCTACCATCGTCAGTCTGCAGTACTGATGCTGCCTTTAAGTACCCCCGCTCCAAGTAGCGATTATGGGACTTCACGTAACTTGGCACAAATAGCGTTTGCGGTTAGTTTAATTGGAAAGGAAGTTCGTCTTTAATTGTCGCTCTTGTCTGTTTAAGAGAAAAAATAAGCCTTCAACAGTAGGTTTGAGTTGCTGCCTCACGTGACCACCATCTAGGTACAGTTTAAGATAAGGTAAAACAGGAAGGTATAGATGATATTAATGCTAATGGCGTTTATCAACATTTAAGGAAACAATTTATTCCTTTCTTTTTGCTTTCACGCCGTATTTTAGAAGCGGGTGTCATTTGTCACTTAATGAAGTTGTTCGTGTGCTTTCTAATACAAAACATTTTGAGTTTCCAACAGAACCGGAAGGCAGCACACTTGCTGTATTAGATGGTTGATGGCGATAAAAACTGCAAACTAGAGCCGTGTAAAGAGAGAGTCGCGTCAACGGAGGTTCAAAATGCTTGATCGTCACTTGAATGAACGTAGACTTGCGGTAGTTCCAGGAAGTACTTAGCGGGCAATTTCAATGCGTAGATGTTGATAGAATCTGTATAAATACTTCTAATAGTTCTCAATAAATAAATTGATTCACAATATTCATATATAGCAAGGATGAAATGTATTTAGTAACATACATTTGTGTGTTTTTTAAAAGTAAAATTAGCTATTTAATTATCTGCATTGTTGACATATTTTAGGCTAAATGTTATTTATAATTTAGATGTAACTTAATATTGTTTCTAGACCAGCAACAGTAATGGTTACAACAGCAAAGTCACGATATAAAGTCATTAATATCTCACTGGAAACGAATCTAAAATGTAAATAAAATAAATGACTTTCCTGAGTTAAGTTTATAAATGATACAAAATCTACTTTTGTCGAGAAAATAGTATTTATTTTCATAATTTAGCAACAAATCCTCTCATTGGAGAAGCGGGATCAAGATAATGTTTGGTAATTTTGCTTGAAAAATTACCTCAACCATTATTAAACCAATCAACCAATTATTAAAATAGCTGCCGGTAAATGTTCTGTGGATTCACCAGTCGATTAATCCACTAATCATATGACTGACGTCATGGTAAATAGATCTGCCAGAGTGGCAGCGTTGGAAAAACACATGCACTGTTAAGTTGCATGTAAAATTCTTTAACTACATAACTCACAAAATGTATTTCTAAATGAATAAATATTGGTTATTTTTGTTGAGGGAGAGCTGTGACAGCCATGCGACACATTTTACTAAATTCTTCTTTGTAGGTGGAAGAAGTATTCAGATGCTTTACTTGAGTATAAGTACGAATATCACACTGTGAAAATCACTACAAGTAAAAGTCCTGCATTCAAAAACTGACATGAGTAAAAGTATTATCAGCAAAATATACTTAAAATATGAAAAGTATTCATCGTGCAGTGAAATGTTCCCTGTCAGAGTTTTACTATTATGTATATTGTTTTTGGATTCATTTTACTGCTGCATTAATGCTTATGTTGCATTTTGCTACTGTAGATGTCTAATGTTGTGCTAATTCTAACTCCTTTAAATAGTCTTGGTTAATCTCAGCTGTGTGACGATGCACTTCCCAGCGCATCCAAGAGGGTTTTTAGATATTGTTTTTAATCTTGAGAAGTAAGAGAATTTTCTCAAACCATAGAGGAACACTTCCTCCTTCAGGCGAACACAAACATTCACATTCAAAACCACCAACTTTGCTGTCAGACAAATGTTGTGGAATAAATAATACAATATATGTGTGGAGTAGAAGTATGAAGTTGCATAAAATACTCAAGTAAAGTACCTTGAATTTGTACTTACTTAGATACATTTCACAACTGCAGATCGACCATCTGACCTTGTGTCATTAACATCTCTTTGTCACAACATCTAAAAACACTGCATCCACTCACACACAATCTCACATGCTCTCTCTCTCTCTCTGATACACACTTACAGTCCAAACACAGTCCAATGTATCTGGTAATCCAGTCTGAGTTCTGTCTAATATCTGGACCAGCAGCACAAAGGATTGAAGGGTGTAAACATGTAATTTGTCCTTGATGTCCATCCTCTCACAGTAATTGGACTGATGCATTTATACAAGGGAGTATTTCACCATTAGAAGATATAAATAGAACTGTTTATTGCCACAGGGTGATTCAATTTTAAATGGTCGCTGGTGTGGGTTTCTATTTTTGGTCTTTTTAGTTACTGTGGAAACCGACGGGCCCTGCAGGCATTCAGAATAAGCTGTTCCTATTTAATGCCTCTGCTTTATAAAATGGATTCCCCGTTTCCTCGTTCTCAGCGAGTTCAACACAGATGGAAAGATTTGTTAATATACAAAGGGATTATAATAATTATGTAAACCCAGTCTGGTTGTGTCTGTCGGAGATTTGACAAGAATTTAGTAACATTAAAAAGGCTTACTACTCTACCTGCCCCCTTGTTATGTTGAGCTTCCTGCTTCCTGTAGATTATCACATTTAAATGACCTGCCATTTCATTTCAGACTGAATTTGTTTTACTTGAATATGCATACATTTAAATAGATGCATTCAATTTAATGCAAAAATTCAGAGCGGGGCGATTGTAACCGTGGTTTGGTTGCAATTATAACACTGACACAATAAAATAAGTCATATTTACCCACGGTAACCCAACATATACTCACAAACACACACACACACACATATATATGTACATATGTATATATGCATATGTATAATTTTATGTGGAGTATCAATGTATATAAATGTTCAAAAATGTTTAAATTGTGGTATAATTTAGTAATCTCTGCGTAGACACTAAATATTTACATATTTAATGGTTCACACAAAGGGATACCGTGGACATTTGAAACAAGTTTTTAATGAAGCATATAATCAGAAACTCACTGATTTTTATTCTTGTATCTGATTAGGATTCAGCACATAATCTTTTTCTCTCCACTGCAAATTCAAATTCTGATATGTGTCCTAAATGATCAAATCCGTCATTATTATCATCATCCAGATTAAAGCCCTTGCAGCTGGATTCCCCACTGTCCATGTCTCTGTGTCTTCAGGTCCTCGTCCTCTTGTCTCTGACGACAGGTTTGTCTCTTCATAAATCAGTTCTCTGTTTCAAGCTGCTTCCTCATCTTGTACTCATGTATTGTGCCTGTAAATGTCCTTGTCAAAGCACAGCTGCTGCTCTCTGCTAATGACCACCTTTCCATTCTAAAAGTTTGGCTTTCACAGAGGAGCTAAATTTCTATGAGCCCTCCTCCAGGACTTTTTCCAGATTTGCACCCCCCCACTCCCCCTGCAGAATTGGCAGATGGGTTTTATTTTGTAGAGAAATGTGCCTTCAAGCAAAAGCTCCTCTTGTCTTCGCATGATGCCATAAGCATCTTTGAAACGTTTTTTTTGTTCAAATTTTTACCATCTGCATATTCTGAGACACCGAGTAGATGTTTTTTGATTTCACAAGATAAAAAGGTGACAAATGCTTTTTGTTGACAGCGTTTAATGTTGCATGAGAGTAAAAAAATATAAAAGGATTCATAGGATTAATACTAATCTGGTAGTTAAAACACATCATAAATCACAAGCAATAAAAGGCACAACACGCACAGTACAGACGACAATAGCGAACATGGTCTCAGTGTGGGCGGTGTTTTATGGCATTTGGTATGAAAGACTTTTTGTGAATGTTTTCGGTTGCTGCGGTGGATCTGTAGCGTTTTCCAGAGGGCAGTTTTATGAATTCTTTTAAAAAGAGGACAAACAGGATCAGATGCAATTTGTCAAGGTTTTTGTTTCACCTGCGTCATATATCCCATTACTTTCATTCTTTCCCAATAATTGTATCTAGATCTTAGCCCCCAGGTGCCCATTAAAAGTTAAAACACGTTCAAGAAGACTTCTGCAAACATTCTCTAAAACGTTCTTGCTCATGTCTCATGAATCCAATTTCCTGATTAGATACAAGTGCTGCATTGCTTTTTTAAAAATGTGTCCTGTGATGGCTGTAAAACTTGCAATCAAAAAAGGTTCCTAAATATTCACACTGTTGCTGTTTCAACAGGCTGTTCACGAATCAAACGAGGTGGGAAAATAAATACAGGCATTTTGGTGACTCATAATTATTACTTTCGTGGATACATTTTAATTATTTTGGAGATGAGATACAATGAGCACTTAGAAACAGCTAAATATATTTTTTTGGTTTGAGCTAAAAAAAAAACCTACCAGCTGTCAATCAGCAACCGTGGGAAAGATAATAATAATGTAACAAATGTAGACTGTAAAAGAGGAAAAGCATTAATATTCATGTGCCAGAATTTAATAATATACATCTGACATTTAAAGAAAATGAGGCATTGCGACCAAGAAAGTGGACACTGGAAGGCATTTCCATAATCCACTTCATTTGTTTCCATTGTTCCTCGTAAATGACACGGTAATATGTGAGCGTGATAATGAAATGTCATTGAGAGAGCAGAGAGAACAAAGAGAGCCCAAACTAAATCGATGAAGCATCTCTAGAGTCTAAATACTTATCCTGAAGCCCAGGCCTGATGGGGATTGATGGGCCTCCTCACTTTGTTCCAGGTCCTTGGGCTTTGAAAAGGATGTGGATACACGCTGTGCAGATTGATGGGTGGCTGTTGGGGGCTTCAGGTTCCTCTCTTATCAGCGGAGATGTAATTGCTTTATGGAGAGCTGGTTTGAATCACGACAGGGATGCAAGCGTGCTGATTTAGCCACATAACACAAAAACAGGGCCTCTGAGAGCAGGTTGCTCTGTTTCTAGAGGAACAAAAGAACACAAAGTGATCCACCTGCAGAACGCTGCTGCTGCTTCTACTGACGCTCCCGTTACGTTTTCATCTGGAACAACTGTGTGCCCTTTCTGTTCTTTCCTTCCACTCTTGACTAGAAAATCCAGCTTGAATGATTGATACTGGATGTTGCGACACAATTCACCGAACGAGGGCCCGGATCATTGTGCTTAACGTATTATCTCCTCACTGACACTTCAAGTCTGTGCTTCTGGTATGAGTAACCGTGGCAACCGGCATCACCAGTAAGTTTTCAGAAGCGATGTCGTTTATTCAACAACTGTACCAGCATGCATCAGTTTGTGCAGACACAACACACACGCACGCACACACACACACTTTATTGTTATTATTATGTTATTATTCTGAGGCTGTAAAAGGATGATAATTCACATGAGATGACATCATTACATTACTTATTAAACAATGTATTGTCTCAACTAAAACTGTCCTTGCTTCATAATCCATTTCACATCAAGGCCTACTCATTATTATCGAATATTGAATTGGTCAAACTCATTTTAGCTTTCATTGTCTTATTTATTTTTTGGGATGTTTTCAGAAGGCAAACACAATTCTTTTTCATCCATTTATGTTTTGTCAGTGGTGCAAATAAACCCTAACTAACAAAGCAATTTAGTTCTCATCATGTTACTAAACCCGAAAACATGTTTTAGGATAGCTCTGTAAAGCTTTGTGCCTGAAACCCTGGTCGTCCGTGTTTCTCAGCCTCTGGCTGTCTCCACTTTTAGATGCGCAGTTTCAAGGCCAGATGTGAGATCCCGCTGGTCGCTGTCCGTGGTGCTGAACCCCCCTCCTCATGTTAGATTGGTATCGACTGAGTCGGGACTTCACTTGTTACACACAGCTGGGATAAGACTGAACATTGCTGCAAACGCGTACGAAGTGTCTTATTCATACATTTCATACCGCTTTTTTTATTATTATTTTGGAGTGGTTTGCGCATGCGAAGAGGCAAGCTGAGGCCACTTGCTGATGACCGAGTTGAGAGCATCGATCGCTCTCAAAGCGCTCAGCAGGATATGCGCGTTTTTACATAAACCTGGTGAAAACAGATTTCCTGCTTTTATTTTCTCCCGCTGCTACGTTTCACGCAACAGGCAGCAACACCAATGTGGAGACCGCGCTGAGGGAACGGTACCACCTGTAACGGTGCGCCTATCTGCTGCCGACTTTCACGTCGACGCCGAGGATGAAGAAGCAAAACGTCCGGACCCTGTCGCTCATCCTCTGCATGTTCTCCTACTTGCTGGTCGGCGCCGCGGTGTTTGACGCGCTGGAGTCCGAGTCGGAGAGCTCCCGCAGACGCATCTTGGAGCAGAAGCGCAACGAGATGAAGAAGAAGTACCGCTTCTCCGAGCACGACTACCGCGAAATCGAACGAGTGGTGCTGCAAGCTGAGCCCCATCGCGCCGGGAGACAATGGAAATTTGCTGGCTCTTTTTACTTTGCCATAACAGTCATCACCACCATTGGTAAGTTGATGTCATGCTTCTATCTTTAGACATGGGGGGTACTGTTTGACTCTGTTGCTATAGTATTTACAGTGGAGCATTTATATTTCCTCTAAGTTAATGCAACATTTAAGGCTTGTTTTGCAGACTAAATCATGAATTAAAGAAATAGATCCACGTTTCAGCATCCAAGCATTGCCACAGTATGCGTTGTGGGTGATGCGCCTTCTCATTTCCATCCCTCTGCATTAAGGTTATGGTCATGCAGCACCAGGCACAGATGCCGGAAAGGTCTTCTGCATGTTCTACGCTGTACTGGGAATTCCTCTCACTTTGGTCATGTTCCAGAGCCTGGGAGAAAGGATGAACACGTTTGTCCGCTATCTCCTACATAAGGTGAAGCAGTGCCTGGGCTGTCGACGCACTGAGGTGTCCATGGAGAACATGGTCCTGGTGGGCTTCCTGTCCTGCATTGGAACCCTGTGTGTTGGGGCCGCAGCCTTCTCCCACTTTGAGCGATGGAGCTTCTTCCATGCTTACTACTACTGCTTCATCACACTCACCACTATCGGCTTCGGGGACTTTGTGGCCCTGCAGAAAAAGGAGGACCTCCAGGAGAAAACGCCCTACGTGGCGTTCAGCTTCATGTACATCCTGGTGGGGCTAACTGTTATCGGGGCCTTCTTGAACTTGGTGGTGCTTCGCTTCCTCACCATGAACACCGAGGATGAGCGGAGGGACGCTCAAGAGAGGGCGTCGCTGAAGAGGGACCGGGGCCTTTTGGATGGGTCTCTGGGTCTCCGTGTTGTAGGGGAACAGAGCAGAGGCAGCCACAGAGAGAGGAACAGGAGCAATGCGGTGCACGGTCGCAGCCACAGCACGCTCTTCCTCCCGATGGAGGAAGGAACCAGCTGCACCAACCTCATCGCTTCCCCAGCGGATCAGGAAAGGCAAGGAAGCCCCTGCAGACACAGGCTGCATTTTCAGATCAAGGCAGGCAGACGCCAGCCAGAGACAAGCCTAAGCTCCCTCTGCTCCTGTGTGTGCTACCGTTTGGGGATTTGTGATAGTCCTCTTATGTCCCACGGTGAGCACCACGGCTGTCATATCAATTCTGTTTTCGACAACTCAGTCTCCTACAGGATCCAGGGCTGCTCGCCGGGCTCCAGGGACAACACTGGACTCTCTTCCCCAGGAAGCACGCTCTCACCGGGGCATAGCTTCCGTGAGTTCCCTCGTTCAAGGAGAAAGTCTGTGTAAAGAGCACTATAGTGAGGTGTTTGCACAGACTGTAAGCAGCATTTTCAATGACACTGTATTTTGTGTTACACCTTGTGCATGTCAGAAGACACTGATTCTGTTCAATGAATAAGTTGTCAGTTGTGGTTGTTAAAGATAATTTTATTTGTTAAGCAAGGATGAGATTTCTTATCCTCTTTTATGACACTATCTATGTTCGTGATTCTGCTGTGTTCCTCGCATGAAAGCGAAAGTGCATGCTAAAGAGAATGTACAGCACAAAATGTGGACGCATGTGCGATGTACAGATGTAAACAGTTGGGCTTTTTAAAAGTCTTTTGGATATAGTGCTTATTAATGACTGTATAACTGTTCAGTGAAGGTATGTGAATGATCCTCGGTGGACTCTGCTCCTGCTTCCAACTAAATCCAACACTTTTCATGCCAGAGCTAGAACATGTCAGCTTGCTTTTATATCAAAAAAGCCTTAAATAACGTTCACCAAGCACATGAGATATGTGGCTTCTTAGCTCAGAAAATTTATTAAATCCTTTTATTACTTATAATGAGGGAGTCAGAATAACTTTTCTGTGCATTGTTCAGCATTAATGCACTCTAACATAAAGAGATTATGATTGTTACATGACTGATTCTAACATAATGGATGTAGCACGTTACAGATACTATGTAGCAGGTTGCAAATAAACTTCCCAAAATCCTGGAAAAATTGTCACTTTCCAGCCAGGGAGGTGTTAATTCCATGTAAGGTTTGTAGTCAGATTCAATCTGAGTCTCTTACAGTATTGTTTTATTAAACCAAAGGAAAGGACCATTCAATGTCTGAGGGTTTTTATTTTAATCAAAGTTTGCTGAATGTCTGAACAACTCACTTGAATGAGGTTAATTTCTTTTGTTTTCATTCGTCGTCCTCTGTTCTATTTGTGTTTTTTATCAACAGGAACAGAGGCACAGAGGAAAAATGGAGAAAGTGATACTACTTTTGGTGATGGTATTATATTGACTAACTGGTTTACAGTTGAAGGTAAACCCAGCAAGCATTGATGTGGTGATTTGAGCTTATAGTACCATACTGCCCTACTAGAGAGCTGCGCTCCATTAACTCAGGGTTACTTTTGGTTCCTAGAGTCTTAAAAAGTAGGATGGGAGCCAGAGCCTTCAGTTATCAAGCTCCTCTTTTGTGGAACCAGCTACCCGTTTCAGTCCGGGGGGCAGACACACTCACCACATTTAAGAGTAGGCTTAAGACTCCCCTCTTTGATAGTGCTTATAGTTAGGGCTGGCTCTGGTTTGCCTTGGACCGGCCTTAGACAAACTGGTATCGGCAAAAACTACAGGGGGACTTCCTTAGGATACACTGAGCACCTCTCTCCTCCTCTTCTTCACCTCTGTCTGTATGAATTGATGTCCCATTAATGCTCATTACTAACTTTACTTCTTCCCCGGAGTATTTGTGCTTTCTCGCCTCACAGGTTCCCATGACCGCAGTTTTATCTGGACACTGGTCCTTCAACCATCCATGGCCCTGCTGACACCTACTATGATCTTCATTATTAACATTATTAACCCTATTACCGATGCCATTAATGCACAGTACTGATTTTGTCTCTTCCCCGGAGTCCTTGTGCTTTCTCTCCTCACAGGTTTCCATGGAGCATGGTTTCATCTGGACCCTGGTCCTTCCTCCTACCATGGCCCTGCTGACTCCAACTGCTAATATCACTTTTATTATTACTCACATTACTATTTCATATTACCGATACCATTAATGCACATTATTGACCTGCTTCTTCACCAGAGTCTCTGTGCTTTCTCGCCTCACAGGTTCCTGTGTATCCGGGTTATACCTGGACCAGGTCTTGCCTCCTGCCATGGTTCTGTCATACATTGAATGTGTTGTAATTCTGTTATCCTGTTCTACACATGACATCTATTGCACTTCTGTCCATCCTGGGAGAGGGATCCCTCCTCTGTTGCTCTCCCTAAGGTCTCTCCCTCTTTTCTCCCCGTTAAAGGGGTTTTTTGGGGGAGTTTTTCCTGTTCTGATGTGAGAGTTCCGGGACAAGAGGATGTCAAATGTGTACATATTGTAAAGACCTCTGAGGCAAATTTGTAATTTCTGATTGTGGGCTATACAAAAATAAATTGAATTGAATTGAATTTGCACGTCAAGAGACTTTGAGAGGTGGAGGTTAAAATGATCAAAATCTGGTTGAAAAGTGAATGTTTTAGACATCTAGCTTACAGATAACTGTTGTTTCCATAGCATCATTTAATACATAGGTAAGACCTGCTTCACACTAAATGATGGTCATTGAGATCCACATTTCAACCAAATCATGAGCTCATTTTAACACAGCAGTAAGTATTTAAGTACATTTACTCAAGTATTGTACTTTTGAGATACTTATACCTTACTTAAGTATATATTTCATGTGTTCTTGAAACGTCTGCTTCCCTTTTTAAACTTCTTCTTCCTTACAATTTTGAGGTAAATATTGTACTTTATACTTGCACGTATCTGACAGCTTACATTGCTTTACGTTGTAGCCCGGTGTGACTCATTCAGACGCGCCAATGGGCGCCATGTGCGTCGGTGTCAGACACCGAGAGGCGTGCAAAAAGCATTTGTGTTTGACACCCTGGGAAGGAGAACAGGCTCCAAGGGACGGGTTGTCAGTGTTGACAACTTTCTCACTAGATTGAGTGACTTTTGGAGCTGGTGCTGCTAGTTACTTTCATTGGAAAAGAGTTGGCAACACTGGACTGTTTTTTATGGTTGGATGATTTTAAAAGTCTTTCTTACTCTTGCTGTTTTTTCAAAATTACAAACCCTAGCTAACCCTATAGCTTTAAGCTCGTTGTGTTGTTTATAACACTTATGTACCTTTCCTTAAGTGACATATCCAATGCAGGACGTTTACTCATAAGGGAGTATTTTTATATTGCATGCTGTGACTCAATGAGTCCTGGGTTCCAAGAACCTTTGTTGTTTTACCTCTTCTAATACTCCCAAGTAGTCCTGTCTGTTGGAGCTATGAAGTTCATACTAGAATGGCCATAAACAACATCACACCTGTCACAAGATGGAATCACATCATGTGTCTTAACGTCTGCACATTGCCTCCAATCACTATTTTTAAAATCAGTTTTTGGTTTGAAACGAGGAACAGAAATCACGAAGGCTTTACATAAGCGTCCCCAAGCATACATTTCACGCCATCTGTTGATCTGCTGGAATAGTAAGCTGCTTTACATATAAATGTGAAACTGATTGGGCAATAGAATCTGAAATGGTGATTGGTTATGAAACGCCATCTGCTCTGGTTTGCATGCATAGAAATGTTTCCCCTGTTCCTTACATTGTCACATCACAGGCTGTAATTCTGAACCGTCGTGTGCAACAAGTGTTCAAAGTGTTTGTCCACTTTCAAATATACAGGATTTTCATCATTCTGTATGATTTCATGACAGAGACAAAGGAAGAGAATTATGATACTATAACTTTGACGAGGGGGCCCTCTACAGGTGGTAACTCTCTTAGGAGAAGTTAGAGGAAAGGAAAGTCACAAAGATCCATGTAAAACATTTAGCCACTAGAGGGCAGTATATAACCCCACAGCAGCAGCAAGCTGGCTGATGTTCATCCCTGTGTTCTTCTGTAAAAGTCTGCTTTGTTTTCATTCTGACACAGTGAACAGCATTATAGCAACCATGCTCTTCTATTATGTTTATGGAAATTGTGTTTTTTCCTGTAAACCCCTTTTCGGCAGATTGAGTTGTTGGAATGAAGGGTCCCTAAAAGTGTAAACCTGGGACCTCGTGGTGTCAGGGGCCTGTTGATCTCTAGTCCAGGTCAACACCAAACTAGTTCACACATGTTTACTGTATGAACTCTCATAACTAAGGAGGTGATCACTCCATGCATGCTCGTGTTCAGCAGCAGAGGAGCAGAGAGGGCATACACTGAGAGTGATCACATGCCCAGAATGTGATCAACATGAGCCCGATCAACATCTTTGGTATTGATCCTAGCGAATCCACTATCGATACTAGAAACAAAGCTTGGTATCGATACTTTAGGTATTAGCCCTAGTAGGAAACTAAATGTAACTTTTTCTCTGACATACATTACCTGAGTATGAAACGTCATCTTATTGGTGTTCAAGGACTCCGATCCTCTTGACTATCATGTATCGCTGTGTGAAATAGAGAGTTAATGGAAAATACAGATGTTTTGGATGATTCCTCTGGGTGCACTGCTGTACTGTATGCTTACATTATACACATATCCTTTTCTCATTGGCCTTGTTGCCAGAATCTCATTAAATAATCAATATCTGTCAAATCAACATTTGTAGCTATCATTTCTAATACAAAATTATGCTACATTGTTCGTACTAAATACATCGATTCAAATATTCATTTTCCGGGAACCAGTTATCAAGCGAACTGCCTGAGTGGTACAAAGAAATTATTGGCAGAAAACCAGGACACAATTAGCTTACATTGATGGATCACAGCAGAGATGGCCAAACTTGTATAAGATGGATACGGCTTATGGGATATAAGATATAAGATATAGGCATAAACAGCGAATTACACAGCATGGTGTCCTATGGATGGCCAGTTCACTTGTTAGTCTCACTTGGACGGATGAGGTTCGGGTTAAAAAGGATGATATTATCATTGCAGCATTTTTCCATTGTATCCAGAGAGGTAGAGTGGAATCTATGCAGGTAGACGGATGAAACAGAGAGGTGATCTTTCTTTCCCGATACATTAGCGTAACATAGACCCGTGAAAATCCCCCTTGGGGACAGAAGAACCCCTTCATCTTATGCAGCCATTTCATTATCTGCCCAAACAATTTGAGGTTTTGTGAGGGATTTTGTTGTGCCCAGGGACATGGATCAAAGTAAAGTGCTATATCTCCTGCTAAAATGAATGATCTTGAAAGAGATCATCAAATAGAGACTCATCAAAATGGGAGCTGGTGCGAGTATTCTGTGGAGAGATAATTATACTCTTCTGAGAGCTACTGAAAATTAATTTCGGTATATAAAAATGTAGTCTGCTGGGAAGGAGCATAGAGCCTCCTGTTAGTCACCTTACATCCCTTGGTGTTACTTGTTTTTCCTGTAAAGGTGAATAAATAGTATTTCACATGCAAAGGGTGTCACTTTTCTGTCTGTGATTGTGTTCATTGTTTCCCACGTGTATATACCCATATATATATAATATGTCTCGGGATGACAAAAGACATCTCGTGTGGCAAAGATAATGGGTCAGTTTCAAAGCGTCTGTTCCATTTAGCAACTGATGGCTGTAAGAAAGCATGCATCAGAAGCTTTAAGACTAAATCAACAGACTCCTGTCTGGTTTCTTTATCGTACTGAGAAATCTGAAATATCTACTGAAAGATATTTTGTAAAAAAGGTTTATTATCTATTTATCCATAAACACAGCTTTGGGATGAAGCCCTGAACTTAATTGAAAAAATTAAAGTCCCTTTAAGGGAATGTTAACCCTTAAAAAAAACATTAGCTATGCAGATCATCCAATAAAATACACCCTAGAGGGCACTTTACCATATTTCACCCACCTTTGAAGCATTTTTGTGAACATGGGGGCTATTTCTACAAGTGATTAATCGTGTGATAACTTGAAAGTTGCCTTCTAGAGTGCAAGTAGCTTGATAAATGTGTCCCATTCTGCCATTTCCTGACTTTGCTCTGCATCCATGACGAGAGAGAGAGAGAGAGAGAGAGAGAGAGAGAGAGAGAGAGAGAGAGAGAGAGAGAGAGAGAGAGAGAATGTGACTCAGCTAAGAACCTTTTAACTCCTATAAATTGCTCTTTATATGTAGTTCCTAGATGTTTGAGTACAGGCAACAGGCCGCAGACAAAATGTTCTTCTTTGACAACAAGTCACAGAACAACACGTGAGTCAGAGTAACTAAAAGCAAAAAGTGAGTTGATGGTTGAAGGACGCATAAGTCATGCAGCATTTGTAGTCCCCACTGGGAGGCAGTGACACACTAAATGGCTGCACAATGCGCCTCCTATGTTTG